AAAGCTCTCTCTTTACCTATTAAAATAATTTCCTGGATACTGTGAATAAAGATTTGAGGGTTTGGGTTGTTTTTTTTTTTGTACCAGGCATCAAACTCAGGATCTTGCACTTGCCAGGCAGGCACAGTGCCACTGAACTAAATCCTGGCCTAAAGGTTTGAGATTTTGAAACACCTAAGGTGTATATACACCTATTAGTATTATATAAAGCCACTGTATATAAACATTGTGTATAGACCTAAAGAAGCTTGGGATTTAGCTCAGCAGTTCTGCCACCGGCCTTGCAAGCACAAGGACCCAAGTTCAATTCCCTATAACCCCCAAAAAAAGTCCTCATGAGGGATTTACTCAGTGGTTCCGGCACCTGCCTCACAAGCGCAAAGGCCCGAGTTCTATCCCTGGTACCAAAAAATAAAATAAAATAAAATTCAAGACCTAAAGGAAAATACATGATTCTTGTATATTGAGACATGTCATCTGTCATCCATGTGAGATGCTCACAGCACTTTACAAAGTAGTGACATACACAAAGAAACCAGTTTTGAATGTTTACGTATTATTTCCTACAAGCTATTACCCTGAAAAGAACAAAAGGAATTTGTTTGGTTTAATACACTCAAATTGGTGACAAATCTCAACCAGTTGGCTAAACCTTAGCCACACTGTTACACAAAGTGTGGGCTGATTATTTCTGAATCTTCCCCCAATCCCACTCAAGTTAAAAATAAAGACTTAGACCAGACTCTGAACCTGGGACTTAGCGCTGGCTGGCTCCCCCCACCAACTTAGATATTTGAAGAACAGGTGCTCAGGCATAAAGGTAAAATAATATGACAGAAATTATGTTAGGAAAGCAGCGACCCCTGACATTTATGCTGAAGAACCTTCCACAGCTGTGTGCGTGGGGAGCCCAAGTGTGAAGACGCAAGAGCAGCTGCCTGCAGGGAAGACAAACAACCCAGGTGGCCAGCAGTAGGGGAATCATGAGAAACTAGCGCAGTTACCTAGTGGCTTAGAATGCGGCAGACAAGGAATTAACTACAACCACAGGAAATATGGTTGGACCGCTAGTGCTGTATAGTATTTTAAAAACATGTTTACAAATACATGTTTGCAACCGGGGATTTAGCTCAGTGGTTCTGTTGCCTATTTCAAAAGTGTAAGGATCCGAGTTCAATCCCCGGTACCAAAAATAATAATAACAACAATAAAAATACATGTCCAAAAGATGTACAGCAAGGCATGGAGGTGCAGGCCTTTAGACCCCACTCGTCTGGAGACTGAGGCAGGAGGATTCCAAATTCAAGGCCAGATTAGGCAATTTAGCAGTAACCGGTCTCAAAATTTAAAAATAAATAGGGCTGGGAATGTAGTTTAGGGCTCCCTGGGTTCAATGCCCAGTAACAGAGTCTCTCTGTCTGTCTCTCTGTCTGTCTCTCTCTGTCTCTCTCTCTCTCTGTCTTTGTCTCTCTCTCTCTCTCTCTCTCTCATACAATATTCTATTTGTGGGGACAATAATCCTATTTCTATAAGTACATATCCACAGAAAACAAAGATATGTAACAACACAAAATAAATCCAGAGTAGCTGTCACGTTGGAAAAGGAGGCGGGAGATGGGGAGAAGCAGGAGGGACGGAGAGGAGGAGGAAGAAGCCCTCTGCTACATGCAGGAGATAATAAAGAGAAACAGTAATTTATTTTGTTACGGTCTACCACTTTGTGTATGCATCAGCTCCCTGTCGACTCCGCATGCTAATGCTGCACCTCAGATAATCTAGTTGACCTTCTTCAAGCTTATCTGGGAAAGAGAAAAAAAATAGGAAAGGGGAAAAAAGGGAAAAAAACCCTTTTTATTATTCATAGCTGCTAACTTGATCTTGTTCTGGTTCTGGAATGAGCCAATTTAAATAAACTCTCTCCAAGGTGAGAGTTTCAGACTAAGCCTACAGTGCGGCTCTCACTGCTCTGCAGGAAAACGCCTGGCGCAAGGTTGCCATCATTTGTTAAGGGGGTCGAGGCAATCATCACCGCTCCTTTAGAGCCGGGAGTTTTGGCTACACAAGCGTTCTGGGGGTGCCATGCAGTCAGCCCCTCATGTGGCAGGGACTTTTGCTCAGACAAGCGTCAAAAGAAAATTTGCAGGAATTCATACAATAAAACTCCTAAGAAATGAATTTGGAAGAAAAGACTCAGAACCAGAAAAGAAAAACCAAGCCAAGGACACCAGTGACAACTGGGAAATGAAATATTCATGGATTGGAAGATCCCAATCCATATTGTTGTTATCGATTTCTCCCAAATTCCTCTATAGAGTCAAGGCTGCCCCAGTCAAAACCACACAGCAGGCATTTTGCAGACACTGATGAGCTGCTTCTAAAACTGATACGGAAAAGCAAAGGACTTTGAATACACAAAACAATTTTGCATGGGAAGAATAAAGTTGGAGGATTTCCGAACCTTGATTTCAGTACTCACCAGAAAGACAAGTAATCAAGACGGTGTAGTGGCTGGCATAAAAATGAACGGACAGAGAAATCATATAGAATACAAAGTCCACAAATAGATACAGGTACAGTCGGCTGAATCTTTTTTTTTTTTGTACCAGGGATCAAACTGCACCTTGCACTTGCAAGGCTGGGAGTGGCTCCACTGAGCTGAATCCCCAGTCCTCAACTGAATCTTAACAAAGGTACCAGGGCAATTCGACGGGGAAAGCATACAGCTTGGTCATTTCAGTGATGGGGCTGGTACAAATAGAAGTCAATACTGGGGGGAAAAAAGAATGTTCAGTTTTACTTCATGCCAGGCACAAAAATTAACTCCAAATGGGTCACAAGCTTAAAGGGAAAAGTAAAGCAATAAAAATTCTAGACAAAAGCCTAGCAGAAAAATTTTGCGAGTTGGTGGGTGAGGATTTCTTAGGACATGAAAAACATGAAGATGAAAGAAAAAAATAATGACCAATTTTACTCCATCAGTATTTACAAGTTCTGTTCTTCCAAAGAATACCAGTAAGAAAATGAGATTACAAGCTACAAACTGGGAGGAAATATTCATGCATATCTCATAAAAATTTCTATCCATAAAAGACAAAGAACATTTGTGATTCATTGAGATGCCAACCTTAAACATGGGCAAAAAACTTTGAGGTGAAACATCACAAAAGAGAACAAATGGCTAACAAACACATGAAAAGGTATTTAACATCACCACTCACCAGGAAAATGCAATTAAAATGATAGACCATCACAGACCCACTAAGACAACTAAGTTTGAAAAGGCAGAAGATGGAGACATTTGGGGAAGATGTAAAGCACCTGTAACACCTACTCTTTTGTCTTTGAGACAGTCTCGCTAATCTGCAGTCACAACTGGCTTGGATCACCTGTACTTCTGGTGAGGCTCTAAAACCACGCCACATAGCAACACGTAAGGACCCCAGCTCCCTTACTGTGCTGCCTACCCCCGCTGCACTTACAAGTGTATATAACCTGCCTGGTCCTGCCATGTATTGGAAGTACCCGGCCTGTTCTACATCATGAGATTTATCAGAAACACAATGAAAAAGGGGGCTGTGTTCTCTGGCCTCCAAGCAACTGGATCTGGGATTTAGATTCTCTATCACTCACAACGCAGCTCCTCTACCACCAGGAGCTGAGAGTATGTGATGTTTTAGGTAAAGTCTTTTTTTTAAGGTCTCAGTTAAAAAATATATAAAATAAAAAACAGCAACACCCAGCTGTCATTACCCAGATGACCTAAATATTCAACCCTGAGGGTTTTTTCCATTGCACAAGCAAATGAGCTTCTCCAAGAATACTTGAAAGCCTTTTGAGCGATTCTCCTACTGCGGTGCTAAGAACCAGCAGCCATAGCATCCCCTTCGTGGTTAGAAACTCAGAACCAGGGCCCCACCCAGGCCACTGAGTTAGGGGTCTGCACTTAATGAGGTCTGCTGGGGGCCATGAGCACCATCAGTGAGAATCCCACTGAGACACAGCCAGGGCCTGACTGAGACAACGCAGTTGTGAGCCCCTCCCAGGCTGAGAGTCCATGCGGCTTATCTGTGATCTGCGGAGGGCACAGGTAGAGGCTGAGAGTCGTCCCGCAAGGGGACTGAGTCCCGAAGACACTGGCATCCAGCTGTTGGAAACCCTTCTTCAAATACCCCCAAACAGAGTCAAAACACTTCTGAGAGATGTTACATCTTGGTGGGATTTGGGTGAACCACACCCCATCAAGAGGGAGGCGAGGGAGAAAGGAAAAAATGTCTCAAAGGCTTCCAAGGCCTTCAGGAGGCCTTTTTGAAACCTCACTGGGCCAGGAATGTAGTTCAGTGTCATGGTACTTGCCTAGCATTCCCATGACCTTCCGTTTGACCCCTAGAATGGCACCTTTAAAAAAAAAAAACCAATAAAACTGTGACATCCATTTCCATAAAAATACACATTTACATCTACTTTTAAGGGATTCACAGATTTCCTGGTCTTGAGCAGGAGCCTCTAGTTAAGAATTCCTACTTTGGAGACAGGCACAGGAAAACTAAAGAGGTGCTGGAAAAAAAGATAACCGTATGGATAGCTTTTCAAAAATAAAAAAAATTGCCGAAGTTTTGACGCAAAGGAAATGTAGATGCTTATAAATTATTCAGACTGAGGGAACTAAATTATACCGGTGAAACAAAAAGATCAAGTTATTTCATCATGTCATCTGAATCTGCCACCAGATAATTTTGACACTTTCTCCTCTAAAATGCTGCCTTCCCAGACTACTCAAGAGAACCCTTTGCTTGAGCCACCCCTAGATCCTCACCCAGCATTTGGAAGACCTGGGCTGAGTTCACTTTATTTACTTGTACGCCCCGATGATTCTCGGGCACCATGGGCCCCGTACGGGCAGGTGGAGGAAACACCTGCTGGTGCCTTAGTTACTTTCTCCTTGCTGAGACTCCAAAACCAACACCCACGAGTTAAAGGAAGAAAGGTTTACTTCAGCTCACAGTTTGTAGCGGTTTCAGTCCATAGTCGACCGGGCTCTAACACGGGTCAGCACAGAGAAGAAACAGCCCTTGGAGTGGCAATGAAGAGGAGGGCGGAGCAACGACGGGTACTTACATATCCGCTTCAGGCCACGCCCACAGTGACCCGCCTCTTCCCAACCTATGTGCAAGGGGCGTTGGGGGCCATTTCGATATAAACTGTAACAGCTGGATTTAAATTCTTTCAATGAGGGTGAGTAACAGGTGATTCCTGATCACCAAGCAGTTGAAGTTATCAGCTTGGTCGTCAGTTTGCTGGCTGGTCGGCACTGGGACAATCTCGGCCTGGTGGGTGCCGGGTGTTGGCAAAAGAGGGTTTTCAGGATAAGCTTGCACCCTGATTACTTTGGTGGTTTTTATCAGCAACCTACCATGCACAGGCACCCCTTTGGATGTGGGGGTGGGACAGACAGGCCCATATGGCCTCTCAGGCTGCTTTACACCTGTGAGAGAAGTGGGTTCCCGCCACCCACATCCCGGCACCTGTGTTCCCTAGTTTAGGGTTCGTAGGTTCCAGGGCCCCAGCCTCGTGGATACCTAGAGCAGGTTGGTGCCACGAGATACACAAGCCCTTTCACGTACCTCCTTTCCCTTGGAAGACTGAGCTGAACCAATTACCTGTTGAAATCTAATTTCTATTCTACCTGCCAGTTAGTTCTGAGCTCAGCTGCCACTTGATTTCCCCCTCGTTTGCTAAGGTCTTCACTTTTTATAAGTCCCTCTATAGCAATTCCAGCAACCCAATGAACACCACTCACTCACACACACACACACACACACACACACACACACACACACACACACGAGGGGCACGACAGCACCACCTTAATCTTCACCTCTTCAGAAAGTGATTGCTTATGCATGTTTTAACGTTACAACTTCTATCCAATTTTTTTTTTAATTAGGAAGCTGTCTAGAGATTTGTGCTTGGTGCCCAGGCCCTGCAGGTGCTTTTCCTCGGTGCTCCGTTCTCCGTGTCTGGAGGGAAAACATCCGAGCACCTTCTTTGTAGATGCTTAACGCAACTTGACAAACGCACTGTTCCTGTTTATTTGTCTTTACACCTATCGGTGGGCTGTGGACACCCTCATTTTATATCCCTCTGAATGCCAAGCATCACAGGCACCAGGGGGCAGAGTTAAACGGAGCTGCAAAAAAGCTGCAGACAGCGCAGGGTCCAGCTCCCAGAAACAGATTAAATCAATTGTGACGCAGCCACTGAATAGCACACTGTGCGGCTATTACAGAGCATAAGGTAATCCACCGCTGACTAAGGATCTTACCCAAAGTAGTACATACTTTAGGATAATCTGACGTTGTGTACATCTTATGCTTTACACTAGTGAATAACAAACAGGGATGATCAAATACCGCGCGCTATTCATTGTGGTTACATCGCCTTAAGTATTAGGAGCCACTGGATGATCATACATTGCTACGTGAAATCTCAAAAGTACGGGGAATGCAAAAGCCACATATGCGCACAAAAATAATGTATGGACACGATGTCTTACGCAAGCGTTCCGACAACAGGGGCTCAGACCTTCGCGCACATCCGCGTCACCGGCGAGAGCCGGCAAGCGGGCAGGGCTGCGACCGCCAGCTCAGGAGGCTGCGCTTCTCACGGAATCCCGCTGGCTGCGGGAGGCGCGAGGGGCCGCCTGGGGAAGGAGGAGTCTAGGGCTTTTCATTTTCTGAAACGTACGCGCGCACTCACAGCCCTGGCCGAACGTGCTCTGAGCAGGCGGGGCAGCGGCGGTCGCCTCGGGGTCGGACTAATAAGGACAACGGCCTCCAT